TGTTAGTAGGGGAAGAGGTCTCAGGAGTTGCTAAATAATTACATAAGGAAAGGTTACCTAACTGCATTCCTGTAAGCCCTAAATTCTACTTCTCAGGAAGTTAGAGAGGCGGAGAAGGTAGATTGGAACTGAAGCTGGCAATTTCTAAGGCTTATGCCACAAACGCTCCCAGCAAGCTGCTGCCATTGCCGTTTGAGTTGCATCCCCAAGGATTCCTCAATTTCACAGTTGTCTAAGAGATTGTCTAACATTTTCTTCCTGCCATGCTGATATTTTCAGTCTGAAGTATGGTGGAGGCGTCCAGGGGACTGAGTGAGAAGAGAGATCCCAGGGAACCATGGCCCGAGGGAGCGTTTTTTCTTTATTATTACAGTGTTTCTCTTGAGATATAAAATCCATTTTCTGTGCTAGTTACAACAGCCAAAACAAAATCAAGAAACTAACAATGTGACACAAGGCTCATCTTCAGTCTACTTGGAATGGGGGAGGGGTGATTGTAAGTAGGGAGGGTGACAGTTTTAAGTGCATTTGCATATATAGTGCTTGTTAGTTTCAGCCTTGAGTTCACATGGCAGTTGGTTATACCTGATTTATTTCTCAGGGCTCTCTCTTCTCCCCTGGGTGGGAAGAGTTCCTGAAGGAAGGACCAGAACAGTTAATGGGAAGCAGATTAAATGGAGACAGATGGAGAGTTGTCACCTCTCACATTTTCTCTGAAATGGAGTACAGACTTATCAGATGGGCATGACCTTGTAGAAAGAGTTGTGAGTCTGAATACTGAGGAAGAAGCACTAAGTATTTTCTTGAAGAATTGGAGAATAACAGGCTATGGGGAAAATTGTGTGGTTCCTTAAAGTCCCTAGTGCCTATTAGAGGTTAAGATTGGATTTTTTGTTTGTTTGTTTGTTTTTTTGTTTGTTTTTGAGACAGGGTTTCTCTGTTTTCCTTTAGAGCCTGTTCTGGAACTTGCTCTGTAGACCAGTCTGGTCTTGAACTCACAGAGATCTGCCTGCCTCTGCCACCCAAGTGCTGGGATTAAAGGTGTGTGCCACCAATGCCCAGTTTAGGATTGGATTTTTTAAATAAGCATGTGACTAAGCATCTCAGAATATGCTTGCAATACCATTAATTAAGAGGCAGAGGCAGGATCCAGGTTTGAGGCTAACTTGGATCCTAGTGTAAGTTCGAGGGTAGTCTGAGCTATAGAATAAGACCTGTCAAAGAGAACAGAATAGAATAATTTATTGGTTAAATGGTTTTTTTTTTTTTTTGTTTTTTGTTTTATTCTAATCATCCAGAAAGTATCTCTGATGTGTTTAGACACTAAATTTTAGTTATGCTGATTAAATTTTTTAGTTTTACTTTCTGTTTATACACATTTTTACCTTCGTTTATTTCTTCTACGGATTCATTTTTATGTTGTGTCTTGAATTTCTAGAGCTGAATTGTTTTCAAGACAAGGTTTCTCTGTATACCCCTGGCTGTCCTGGAACTCAGAGAGATCTGCTTGTCTCTGCCTCCCATGTGCTAGATGTAGAACTGAATTCTTAGTTCACTTCATGTACATAGTTTCCTCCATTGTTAGCGTTCCTACAAAGAAAGTCTTAATTTGTTTGCAGTGTGGCATATCCATATTTACTGCCTGTTTGTGGTGTGGTATATCCATCTTTACCATTTGTTTGTAGTGTGGCATGCCTCTCTTTACTGTTTGTTTGCGGTGTGGCAGAACCTTGGTGCTGTTTGTGTCCTGAATAAGAAATTTTTGGCTCATCCTACTCATGCCAATATTCTTCTGTGTTAGTTACTTCCTGGGGCTTTAATGTTTTGCCTTCCCTTGAACTGTGAGTTCAGCATATTCTTTCATATTTCTTTCAGTGTGACAATCACATTGACACAAAGCCACTGCATGGAGAATAGCCCCTCTCTCCTAACTCTAAATCCAGAGGCCACTCTGTGTAGGTGGGATTTTGTTTCATGGGGAGAATTATTCAAAGATCAAAGTGATTTATCTGCACTGTATCCAAATGAGACTCAATATATGTTCTGAAAGCTCTAGCTATGTTTTTGAAGATGATCCTTGATAGTCTTGATTCTGAATTTCCCTGTCAGTCTTGAAGTCAGGTTTTTCAGTTTGTATAAAACTCCTTGGAGGAGGTAGAGGCAGGGTCTGCGGTGTGAATATTGTATAGAATTCTCAAAGAATAAATTTTAAGAATTAAATATAAATAAATACAGATGATTTTCCAAACAAACAGAATTCTTTGGATCTGTTAATCAGTGTGAATCAGCTTCCAACGCTGGCCTTTTAATCCATAAATATCATGTCTCCACATGTCAGTCTGGTAACGTGAAATTTCCCTCAGTATTTTTTATTTCCAGCCTGTGTGTCTCATGTGTCTTGTATTACACTTATCACCACTGTTTGATGCTTTGATGTTTTTACGAATATCTCTTCCTTCTTTTTCTATTTATCTGTGTCTAGTGTGGGAAGCTGTCTTTTAGGGGCTGCAGTCAGAGCCAGCCTGGCTGCCCATGGTTCCTACCTGAGAGAGGGAGTGTGGCCCAAGAATGGTTAGCTAAGGGAGTTAAGAGAAAGACACAGAAATATTGTCAGGAGGGCCATTCACATCATACTGAACACCTTAGTTTATTCTTTAACTTAAGTACCCAAATCAAAAGTGGGGACAATGGCAAAAGACTTCTGTTATCATGTATGAGGGGCAAAGAGACTTACTTCTCTTAATCCTCCAGGTATTTGGTAGCCGCACCTGCCATCTGGCCTTCAGGGTCAAGAGTAAACACACCTGAGCACAAGTCTGTTGTTACTCAGATAAAGACATCCACTACCAAGGGTGAAACATCCTGTAGCAGCCAAGCCTAGTCTTATAGGTAGGTATAAAAAAAACAGTTTTGAACTCTCTGACCTTCAGTCAAGACGGAGTGGAGCCATCTTAATGGATCCTGACAATATATCTGTGTCTAGCAGATGAAAATTAAATAGACTTTTATATCTCATTATGTTCTCACTGTAGTCACGTAGTGCTGCTGGTCATTTGTGTGTTTTTTGAAGTATACTTGTATAGATTGTGACATCTGTATGATGACAGTTGTGGTTTTCCTTCCGTCATTTTGTGTTTTCCTCTTATCTTGCGTTATTTGGGACGTGTGATACAAGGTTGAACAGACATAAAGACAGCAAGCAGCCTTCCGCTGCCTGTCACTTCAGGGCAGAGCCCTCTGCACAGTTTATGTGAAGTTTTCTGTGGAATCTCTCGAGATCTTACCCGATGGAAAGAATATGTTTTCATTATACCACACAAGTGTAGATAAAAATTATCAAAGCTTGCCGTGTCTTTTAAGACAATAATGAGATTGTTCCCCCTTTTCCCTTTTGATCTGAATCAAAGGCTAAACCATCCATCCATGTTTTCTATTATAAGCACTATTCAGACATCATTACATTTTAGAATTTATTATTGTTTTATTATTCATAAAACTATGTATCTTATTATATATCACTGGATGTACATTTACATTATTTTAGATTTTGTATTTGTTTCGAGGACAGGTTTTCTTTTTAACTTTAATTTTATGTGTATGAGTGTTTTGCCTGCATGTATGTCTGTGTATCAAATATATACCTGATGCCTGTGGAGAGAAGAAGAGGACATTGGAGACCCTAGAACTGCAATCATAGACCCTTTTGGGATCTGTCACGTGGGTACTAGACTAGAACCCAGGTCCTGTAAGAGTAGCCAGTGCTCTTAACCTTTGACCCATCTGTCTGGTCCCTCAGAACTGGTTTTTGCTTGCTTGGAATGTTCTTTCCAGGTCTTGGTATTGGTATTCATTTTATAAAATACTTTACAAGAGAGACAAACTGTCCTGAGCCCCAAGATGTTTGGGGACTGCCGTTTTCACAGCTTCTATCATACTCCAGCCTGGTCTGTGAATGTTCATGTTTTAATCATTGTCGCCACTATTCAGGTGGAAGCCCACACCTTATCCTTTAACTTTGAGAACATTTGTCTACCCAGTAGAACAGCTAAAGAGACATTATTACCTTGGCAGTTTCCTTGGCAGTTTACTGCACTGAAAACATGTCTCCTTTCGGCAATTCTTGGGTATAAAGTCTTGGGGATCAGACGTGTGTTCACATTTCAGGGTCTTCCTCTTTGAGCTTAACTTTTATTTTCCCTTTATTTCTCTTTGTGCTGCTTCCTGGGAGCCTTCCTAAACTCATGGGATTCTGTTTTTCAACCAGGGAATAAACTAAAGAAAACATAGGAAGAGAGCTTGTTGTTTGAGTAAAATCACCTACAAATGAGTAGTCCTGTGTATAACTGCTGCTTGCCCCCAACAGTGTCCTTGCCTTTTAATTAGCTACTAGGACATTCACATATGACTACAATGTATCCCCAGTTGAGTCATTAGAAGAACTTCAAGAAGGGAATACTTGAGGTGTTGTTATTGAAAATGTTAGAGTCAAAGTACATATCAAGTTTACTTGTATGGGAATATCATAACGAAGCCCATTGCTTTGTAGAATTTATGCATAGTAATGGAAAATTAAAGACTATTTATGTAATATCAATGCAAAGTAAGAATCACTGGAGTCAAGATTTCCAGTATACATAGTATGTTATAAGCAAACCCAACACAAATTAAATCTCACTTCCTGGTGTCATGGAAACAGGAACTAACATTTCAGGAAGGAAAAACATCAAATGAGTAAGCAAACAAGTCCATGCTCTGTTTTGTGCACTGTTCAGAGGCACAAATTTATATGGAAAAATGACTCCAGGAAGACTTATTATCACCTGAACCCCCATTTGGGTAAGTCTGGCTGACAGGCTAGCCAATCTAAAGCCCTCATAGTCCTCCTGTAGCTTAGCTTATTGTCATACTTGTGGGTGTTGCCTAAGATGGACAAAGAAGACAGGAAGAGCCGGGGCTCACTTTGCGGAATGTGCCATGCCGTCACCATTCTCTCTGTCTAGACCAGGCACACTGTGGCCAAAGGCAGCGTTGTCCAGTTCTTCTTTTACCAGCCCATCAGCCATCAGTGGAGACAGACGGACTTCTTTCCTTGCACCGTGACATGTGGAGGAGGTGAGACACAGTCTTCATTCTGGGATACCCAGAGCTGTGAGTCGGGATGCACACATGCCTGGGTGAGGTAAACTTTATGACTGGGATAGAAGGAAGTGTCTCATGTGTGCTAAGTTCCAGGGCCTAATAGTTAAAGAAGGTTTGGGGTCACGTGTAATCCAAGTGCACTTATACAAAATAAAAAGGGTTTCAATAGACATTTGTCTGCTTGGTGTGGAGACATGATGGCCTGAAGTAGATGGAGAGCAGGTCACAGCTAACACCAAAGTGACTGTTTTTCTGAGATGAGCTTTTAAACAAGGGAATACAGGATTCCAAATTGGTACCAGTCCAGGATTCCCAAGTTGCTGGGGTTCCCAGAGTACTTGAGGAGTTTCCCTGTGAGTACTAGACAGTGATACCGGGTGCTTACAACCTGACCAGCTGTATACAGAAGGTTCTTTGTCATATTCCTGAGGAAGTCAGTTTGGTGTTTGCTTTACACATGGCTGAGGTAAAACTTAGTGAGGGTCCCCATTCATCAGGTGGCACAGTCAGGCTCTGATTAGATTGCCCTGTTGTGCCTCCTGAACTGTCTTCTATCCCCGTGTGAAGGGCACATCTTGGGCAAGGCTCTGTTTGAAGAGTTAGAATACTTCTTAGCTCAGCCCAGCCCTAAATCATTTCTTCCCTTGAAGATGAATAACACCCATTAAGAATGTCAGGAAGGGAAAAGGGGTTCTGGGCTCTCATCCTAACTATAAGCATATTGAGGAGGACTCCTTGGCCAGTGCCAAGTTCTCATAAACATGCAGGTGAGATCTTTCTAGACTTAAGCTTCCCATGAGAGTAGATGCTGGCTCTTTTGTGGGGAAGCACTGAGTAGTCCAAACCCTAGTGGGAGCATGTGTCCTTAGAAATGTAAGAGTAATAGCATAGGATGGGTCAAGACCCTAGAATGAAAGAAAAGAGTGAATTTTTCTGAGTATCAGCCACTTTGTTTAGATACAGTGTGAAGAGCATGAGACTCTTAATCTCAGGGTCATGGGTTCATGCCCCATGTTGGGTGCCATTTGAAGAGAGTAGAAACCTGTCTTCTTCCACCTGCTCCTGCAGCTGTTCAGTCCCAAATAAACGCACAGAGGCTTCTAATGATTATAAACTGTTTGTCTGATGGCTCCGGCTTCTTATTGGCTAGCTCCCTCTTAATTATTTACCTATTCTATTAAAATATGTATTGCCATGAGACTGTGGCTTACCGGTAATGCTCTGACAAGTTCCTCCTTCAGTGGCTACATGGCGCTTTTCTGCATTCCTCTTCCCAGCCTTCTGCTAGCCTGATAGCCCCACCTATACTTCCTGCCTGACTACATCCTGCCTGTCCATTGGCCAAAACTTTATTCATCAACCAATAAGAGAAACATATATTCACGGCATACAAAAAGACCTCCCCCATCAACAGTGTGATGAACAGTTCTTATCCTATAGGCATCTGTCTTGGGGTTTCTGTCACTGTGATGAAATACCATGACTGCAAGCAACTTGGAGAGGAAGGGGTTTATTCCACATCAGGGTCCATCATGGAATCAGCTTGGGCAGGAACTCAAAAGGAGCAGGAACTTGAAGGCAGGAGCTGATACAGAGGGCATGGAGAAGTGCACTTACGGGCTTGCTCCTCACAGCCTGCTTTCCTATAAAATAGAGGACCATTAGCCCAGTGATGGCACCACCCACAATGTTCTGGACCCTTCCCCATCAATCACTGATTAAGGAAATGTCATATAGGCTTGCCTACATCCTGGTCTCATGGAGGCATTTTTTCAACTGAGGCTTCCTCCTCTCAGATGACTCTAGCTAGTGTTAAATTGACATAAAACTAGCCAGGACAGCATCCTTCTGAAGCTCCAGCATCAGCAGTACCAACCTGTAAATTCTCAGACTACCTCCAGCTCCTTAAGCAGCACTGAGGGTGTTTCTGTTGTGTTTTACAGGTATCCCAGGGTTGCATGATACACTCTGCATTTTGAGGATTACTCTGTAAAGTAGTACCTCTGGCTATTGGCTACAGCACAGGGATATCTGCCTTGTGTATGTTACCACTACACTGTTAAAGACTCAAGGAATTCTCTTTAAATGGTTTTTTCCCTTTCTTTTTTATTAATTTATATTTTTACATTCCAATCCCAGTTCCCCAATCCCTTCTCTCCTCTCTCTCTCCTCCCACTTCACCCCCCCCAACCTCCCTTCTGCTCCTCAGAGAGGGTAAGACCTCCCCTAGGAAGTCTACTAAGTCTGCTAAATGGGTGTTTTTTAAAACTTAAATATATTTAGAAAAGTAACTTAATCATAACACCCAGCATAGGGAATGACTGTCTGTGGCCACACAGAACACAACTACAAAGACAAATACAGTGACAGCAGAACTGTCTCTGGGATTATTGGGAATTTTGTCAAACATGAAACACAGTTTTTGTCTGCTTGTTTGTTTTTTGACACAGGTTTTTCCTCATAACTTGCTATGTAGCTAGCTATATGGTCCTTCTCCATATATCTTTTTTTTTTTTTTTTTTTTTTTTTTTTTTTTTGCTGTTGCTGTTTGTTTTGTAGGACTGGGGATTAAACCCAGGACTTTGTGCATGCTAAATCAGCATGCTACCAACTAAGCTACATCATCTGTTCCAAGACAAATGATTCTATAGGAGACAAAGGATCCTTTAGATCTTCTAGTCAGTGATTCTGTATCAGGCTCCAAAGAAACAGAATCCCTGAGCTCTCCTGAAACACTGTTTGGAATGGAAAGTCTGAGCTGAATAAACCTGGGCCTTAGTGAGCCAATCCTGTTCTCTGACATTGGCATGCCAAGTTCACAGCAAGGGGCAGGCAGCCAGTATTGGGGCTGATGATGCCTCTCAGTGGTAGAATGTCTGCCTGGTGTGTTCAATCTCTGGTCCTTTCTCATCCACCATGAAAGGGGCAGCCTGGCTCAGTGTGTTAAGAGGAATGGTGGAGACTGAGGGTCAGACTCACTCATTTGTCTCCCTTTGAGCTCCGTTTCTCGTCTGTTGGAAGGAGTCTTTTCTCTCAATGCAATGGTACATGCTGAGGGATGTGGTGTGGCACTTATCCTTCAAAATCATCTGCTGTGTCCCAAACTAAAGTGATCCCAGAGGCACCTCCCATCCCCACAGTCTTAGGCACACTGGTGCTGACTATGAGTGACTCAAAGGACACTGAGGAGAGCTCCTGAAAGAGTGGGGCAGTATAGTTTGTTGAGTCCTGTATCCTTAGGTATGTAAGTCACAGGTCCAGGGAAGACAACAGTACCTCATGGGCCCCAAAATGATGGACCACGGAGAGACAATGGGACCTTTTTTTATTCATACTCTGCAGAGAAATGGGTTTCCCTTTCTTACTTATCCCTGGACTCTCGCAAGTAGCTTTTCAGACAGACACACACTTCCATTTGGACTCATAAAACCAAGGAGAAGCCCTTCACTCCAGGGGTTCCAAAAGCCCTTCACTCCATTTTACAACAGGTTATGGTAAAGTTCCATTGATCAAATTCTTGGGGGAGCTATTTTTCATACTTTGGTGCCCACAGAGAGGCAGTCCATCCTTCTGGAAGCATGACTGTATGGAGGGGCACCTCCCAGTGAGATCAGCCCCAGTGGGAAGGGAGGCAGAACACAGAGAGGCTGTTGGGGCTGCCCATCCTCTCCCACACACTGGCAGGGTTTCAGTGCATTTGTTCACAATACTGAAAGACAATCTGCCTTATTTCTTTACTCTTGGTAGTCTCTAAACTGCAATAAAATTAAAGAGGAAAATGAATTCTCTCTCTCAAATTATAAACACCTGTATGTCCCCCATTGAGTCGCTTTAGAAGAATGTTTCCACTTAGGACATAGATTTTTCTCTGATTCAAGGAACCGTAATCTTATTCCGTATTTGTTTGGAGGAAATATAAGTACACCCATCTAACCCACACAGAACACACGGCCAAATTTTAATTATATTAGTAATCAAACCTATGTGATTGTATGAATGGCATGCCAGAGATTTTTGGATAATGAAGAAAATTAGTTGGTTGGTCTCTGAGGCACCAAGGGTACTGTAGAAGGGTTGCCTGCTCTTGTCTGTAATTATCCACATGATACACTCGAGATTGTCTGGGAAGACTCTGAAACTGCCATGGCCATCTGATAGTGTGGTCTTTCTGGCAGACACTGGCACCAGAGTAACATTTTATTGATGCCGTTTGCATTTTCATTCTTGTGGCTTCAACCTTGCTTTTTGTAATGCGTACCAGCCGGTCCTCTGGCTCTCTGAGGTCAGCTGACTTCCAAGCCATGTCTTGTAGAAAGCTGCCTGGCGGTTCATAACGCCAGATTCCTCTGAGCAATCAGGACTTGAAATATATTTTTAGCCCTTTAGACAATTGGCAGACATTGAGAGATTAGCTTCAGAGTTTTATTTTTTTATTTTATTTTATAAAGCTCATTCTAGCTTTGAAAATTCACTTTTTTTTTTTTTAAACAACAGTTGACATGACATTTGTGTAATGACAGGAAAGCTGGAGTCAGAACTCTTAGGAAGGAAGGGGTCCTGTCTTGAGTTATTTTCTTAGGTTTACTATGCTCAGTACCTTGGAATGTTCGCTTTCCTCAAAGGAAAACAACATGGTCCAAATTGGATTTACTATAATCGGGAGTGAGTCTTCATTCCATCCCCTTTGAAAGCTTGTGTGGTAGAGGAGGTAGGGAGAAGGATTTTGCTCCTGCCTCTCCTGACAATGCTAATTTCCCAGGCAGCAAGGTTATTGGCATTGATGGTGCCCTGGCTACCTCAGGAGAGCAGATGAGTAAACAGAATAGAGGCAAATAGTGAACTATTGTGAAAGAAATACTCAGAGTCAGCTCTCAAAACATACTGTAGACTTTACAGTGCAGAGAAAAAAACAAGTGCAAAATAGACCAAGGCAAAGCTTACTTGGCATGTCCAAGGCCCTGGGTTTGATCTCACAGCACACAGATAAATTTTCTAACTTATCCAAGTATATGCATTTAATCATACTTATATACTTATACAATATACATAAAATATAATAGGAAGTTGAATTAAAAACATGCACCTCTAGCAATGTTATACAAGACGTTTTCATACTTAAGAATATAGAAATGATAGCTCAGAAGGGGTATCTGGGGAGATGAAGAGGATGGGAATGGGCATGCTGTAGGAGAATAACAAGTAAAACAAGGGAACAAGAGGGAGGTAGGGGCTCCCACAGTGACAGGAACAGACAGACAGTAACCTGGCAACCATGAAAAACCAAACTGAGGTCTGGATAGTTCCTAAAAGGAGTCAACTGTAATGTGCACAATGGTCAGCGCAAGCATTTGTGCTTGGCCACAGGTTTTAGTAGTTTCACAAGAATCTGAGACCATTCAACAGAAAGTACCCACCTCCTGGGTCCTTCTGGCTTCATTACCATGAAGAGCCCTGGGACCTGTGTTTGGTAAATCTCGCCCATGCTTCTGTTTGTTCACAAGCTGAATACCATAGAGACCACAGAGCTAGGTTTCCTAGAGAGGAAGATAAGCATGTGGCCCCCACCCTTGCCAAGCAGATGCACAACTGATATAGCTTGTATCCTTTGCTGTCACACCTTTAGGGTATCAGCTCAACTCTGCTGAGTGCATGGACATCCGCTTGAAAAGAGTGGTGCCTGACCACTATTGTCATTACTATCCAGAAAATGTGAAGCCCAAACCAAAGCTGAAGGAATGCAGCATGGATCCTTGCCCGTCGAGGTTGGTGCAATTGCCCACACTTTCCAAAGAAACAAGTCAACTCCAGTTGGGACACACTGGTTCTTACAGGGTGCTAAGCTTCTAGTTCTTGACTTTTGAACATGTTCCAGTGTCAGATCACATTTATAACCACAGTTAATGGGAACTAAGACACATTTGCTGGTCTGGTACCTCAGGCTACCTCTTGTCATGGCGTTGTGTATCCCTAAGATCTGTAATGAAACCTCTTGGGCAATTCTTGCAAATACATACATCAAAGATCCATATGTTTATGGGTCTGCCGAAATTCCATGCATAGTCCATCTGTCAGTCACAAACATCTCCTTCTCACTATTTTAGACTTTAAATTGGGTCACTCATTACCACATCTTGGATTTTGAAGTGTTCACATTTAACTCTGTATAAATAGTGCATTGTGCAAGGAAGCAAGCAGTTTTAATGCCAAAGCAGAAAAGCTATGCAGAAATTGTTCTATTGCATAATTTAGTACCTGCTGACTTGGATTGTCTGGGCAAGTTTCCTGGCTTTCCTTCAGTATCTTAAAATATCAGCCCAATATCAATCCCCTGGATCCTCCAGCTTCCTTCCAGCTGGCCAAGGCCATGGTGTGCAAGTGGGAAAAGCAGCCTTGTCCATGGCTCTCATTTCCTGTGCTATAATGCCCATTTTCTGTAATCCTGCTTGGACTATTAACAGAGACCTTTCAAAGGACAGAGTCTGGAAGCAGAGTGATTCTCTGAAGACTTGGCCAACATGACAGTGTGTTCATAGCACTAATATATTAGTATAGTGATGTTTAAAATGAAATAATAAACTTACCTAGATGAAGAGATTTTTCCTTTGATAGATAAGTCTTTAGTTATTTTTATTCTTTATATTCAATGGGAGATGGCCTGAGTAAGTATTTCTGTTAAAAACTGAAAAGATGCTGTCTGAATTTTGGTTGAGTGGCTGATGAGCCTCTTGACAGTTTTGGTTTTCCATTTGAAAGACTTCTGTCTTGTGGGATATCAAATACAGGTCAGGCAATTAGCAAATGTGGTCATTGAGTTGGAAATGATATTTTCACAGTCTATCTGTACTAGTGAATGACCATGTGGATTTAGAAAATTATTTTCACTATGGTTTCCTTTGCAGTGATGGATTTAAAGAGATTATGCCCTATGACCACTTTCAACCACTCCCTCGGTGAGTTAAATATTCTCTTCCTTTTATAATGGATTCTAAGTGTTTTTGCAGGAATACTTATTTCCCCTTTTATAAAGTTAAAAGTCAGCAGGCTAAATGATAAAAAAAAATCTGTATCTAAGAATTAGATGGAATGAGATGCCTTTGAAAAGTTTGTAGAGTGCCATTGCCCATTGCCAGGGTCATCAAGCTTATCTTGAACAACAAGTATCAAAAAACAAAATAAAAAAAAAAACCTAGAGTAGTGGTCCTCAACCTTTCTAATGCTGTAACTCTTTAATATAGTTCCTCATGTTGTGGTGACCCCCCCACCATAAAATTATTTTCATTGCTACTTCATAACAGTAATTTTGACATTGTTATGAATCATAATGTGATATGTAGGGTGTCTGATATGTGATCCCTGTGAAGGGGTCATTTAATCACCAAAGGGGTCATAACCCACAGGTTGAGAATCACTGAACTAGAGCCATTGCTCAGAAACTTGAATCCTCTTTAATAGCTAGATGACCAGTATCCTTTCCCTCCCTCCTGTCCTTGTTTCCTTCCTGTCTTCCTTGCTATTTTGTTTGAAACAGAAGCTCATGTGGTCCCAGCTGGCCTCAAAGTACATAGCTGAAGTTGCCTCAAATTCTTAATCTTCCTGCCTTTACCTCCCAAACATTAGAACTATAGGTGTGCAACACTATGACCAGATAGTATAGTTCTTTTTTTACTTTGACTATGAGTCTCAGGAATATGGTCCATCAGTACTTTATAACTGAGAAACAATTTAAAGGTCCTTTCTTACTCTATATTCTAATTAATTCAATTTTCATAATGGCTATTTGGAGGCTACAAGGTGGGTATATTTTTTCCCATCATATAGAAAACTCATGTTCAGAGAAGTTGAGTTCCTTGTAACCATGGTTACGATTAAAGTTCTAGGAGATTTAAGTCTTGTGTTATTTCAATAGAGCCATGACTTGATATTATGAAGTCACCCTTTTTGAAAGCTCTTGCAGATTTGAAATGAACTAGAATACATTAAATAAATAATGTAATTTTCTTTGTTTGCTTTTGAGCTGGGAACATAATCCGTGGACTGCATGTTCAGTGTCCTGTGGAGGAGGGATTCAGAGACGGAGTTTCGTGTGTGTAGAGGAGTCTATGCATGCAGAGATACTACAGGTAGAAGAATGGAAGTGCATGTATGCACCCAAGCCCAAGGTGATGCAAACTTGCAACCTATTTGATTGCCCCAAGTGGGTTGCCATGGAGTGGTCTCAGGTGAGTTTTGAAAACATGATGCTTTCATTAATGATGTGAGATTTTAATGCTGTTTGCTATGTTACTGGATATCATGATTTAGAAAAGTTGTATATAAGGGGCCAAGCAGATGGTTCAGTGGATAAAATGCTTGCCATGTGTCTTAGTTAGGGTTTCTATTGTTGTGAAGAGACATCATGACCATGGCAACTCTTATAAAGGAAAACATTTAATTGGGTATGGTTTACAGTTCACAGGTTTAGTCCATTATCATCATGGTAGAAAGCATGGAGACATGCAGGTGGACATGGTGCTGGAGAGGTAGCTGAGAGTCCTATATCTGCATCTGTAGGCAGCAGGAAGTGACAGTGACACTGGGTGTGCCTTAAGCTTCTGAGTCCTCAAAGCCTGCCCCCAGTGACCACTTCCTCCAACAAGGACACACCTCCTGATAGTGCCACTCCCTATGGTTCTGTGGGGAACCATTTACTTTCAAACTACCACATTCCACTCCCTGGCCCCCATAAGCTTGTAGCCACAATGCAAAAATGCATTAAGTCCAACTTCAGAAGTGCCCATACTCTCTCTATCACAGCCTCAACAACATTTAAAAGTCCAAAGTTCAAAGTCTCTTCTGAGACCACTGAAATTTCTTTACTTTAGACCTCTGTAAAATCAAAATGAAAAAGCAGATCACATGCTTCCAACATATAATGGTACTGAATATGCATTACTGTTCTGAAAGGGAGGAAAGGGAGCATTTGAGGAAATACTGGACCAAAGCAAGGCCTGATAACAGCTGGGCAAACTCCAAACTTTGCATCTCCATGTCTATTGTCAAAGCACTCTTCAGATCTCCAGCTCTTTTCAGCTCTGATGACTGCAGCACACGTCTTTCTCTTGGTTTCAGTCCCTGTCAGCAGCTCTTCCTGGCAGGTATCCCATCACTCTGGAACCTCCAACATTTTTGGGTCTCCAAAACAATCCAGGCTTCATCTTCACAGTTTCTCACAATGGTATCTCTAGGCCACCATTCAGGGACACTTCTGATGCATGCCAGGCCTCAGTGGCTTTCCTTAGTCATGGATAGAGAATTCATAATTCCCTTCTTTTATCCTTGACTCTTAAGCTAGAAGCAAGGAGCTAACTGCCATGTGCTGCTGCTTCATGGGACTGGAACATGGCACCCTCATACAATTACTTCGTTACCAGCTTTCTGGTTTTGATGGTTTCCTTTACTGCCTAAGATTGGCTGTCCTGGAATTCATTCTGCAGACCAGACTGACCTCAAACTCAAGAGATCTCCCAGCCTCTGCCTTCCCAATGTTGTATTAAAAGTCTGTACTACACACCCTGCTTTAAGCTTCTCTTTAACTACTTTTCACATTTTGGATACTTAGTTGAGTAGGAGCTTGCTGCAGTTCACCACTCCCTTTATTGCATTTAACATCAGTATTTAATTTAATCTGTTTATCTCCTTGAACACAGGAGTTAGGGCCATTCTACTTCCTGGCGCCCCTTTTCTCTTTGAGCTGTACATTTTGAATTTTTCCTTGCTCAGCTTGCTCCTTTTCATTATAGATCATCATAAGAGTTAACTCTTGTAACCACACAACAGAGTCAAAACTAGACTGTTTGAGATTTCCTCTGCCAATGCAACTGAGGCACAACTCTTCAAGGTAGCCTCAGGGGGACTTTTCAAGCAAGGGGAAAAAAAGTTCTCAGCCAAAATATCACAAGAGCAATCTCTAGGCCTCTAGACCACATGTTAATATTCTTCTCCTCTGAAACCTATTGACCTAGGCCCCCAGGGTTCAAATCAGCCTCGGCACCCCTGTCTTCCATGTTCCTACAAGTGTGGTCCATTAAGCCCAACTTAAAGCATTCAACGGCTTTTCTAATCCAAAGTCCTGAAGTCCACATTCCTCCCAACAAAAACATGCTCAGGTTTATCATAGCAATGGACAAATCCCTGGTAATAACTTCTATCTTAGGGTTTCTATTGCTATGAAGAGACACCATGACCACTGCAACTCTTAAAAAGGTAAACATTTAATTGGGGCTGGCTTACAGTTCAGATGGTCATGGTAGAAAGCATGGTGACATGCAGGCATACATGGTGCTATAGAGAGGTAGCTGAAGAGTCCTACATCTGGATCTGAAGGCAGCAGGAAATGACAGTGACACTGGGAAGGTTTTAAGCATCTGAGACCTTAAAAGCTGTCCCTCACCCTGGGACCACTTCCTCCAACTAGGCCATTCTAATTCTAGGAGGCCAACTAGACCTCCTAATAATACCATTCTCGTTGGGTGTATGGGGGTCATTTTCTTTCAAACTACCACACCACATAATCAGAATTCAGATTCCAAAGAACTCACTTTAAAGTCTGGCAGACCTGATGACTACCTGCAACCCCAGAACTTGGGAAAGAGAAAGAGAGGATTCTGAAGCAAGCTAAATGGCTAGATTATCCAAAATCAGTAAATGGAAGATGATCAAGGGCAATACCCCATGTCAGCTTCTTGTCTCTAAATATACATGCACATGCATACACATGAACCCTCACATATGCAAACATGCATGCACACATACATATCACACAGAAAAACCAAATATGTAAATAAATAATATATGTAAACATAGTCCTTATATTCAAAGAGCTCTAGAAGATAGGACAATGTGAGAGTAGTCACAAGTATCAGTTCAGGGAAAGATTTATTACTATTACGGGCTGTAGTACATGTGGAAGATACAAATGCCAAAGCTACAGCGATAAAGTTATTGTTGCCCTTGTAATGCTTAACCTCTTTGAAGATAGAGTCTGAGCAAGCAAGAGCTTAGAGAGAACACAGCTGGGGTTGGTGGCCAAGAAGATAATATCAAATAAATAGCATACCTAGAAGTTGGGAAAAAAAGTATAGTTGTGGCTGAAAAACACTGTTTTGTTGTAGTCGTCTGCTATTTCTGGCCCTTAAAGTCTTCATGCCTCATCTTCCACGATGATCCTGGAGCCTCGTGGGAGAGAGGGTGTGCTATAAGTATCTCTTTTAGGGCTGAATACTCCATAGCTATTTTTTCCCTCTGTACTTTGACCAGTTGTGGATCTATGTTAATCATCATATATTATAAAAAGAAATTTCTCTGATGAGGTTAGAGAGATCCATTGATCTATGGCTGTAGTAAATCATTAAGACACAGGAGGGCTAGCTGGCTGGTGGTGGCACACACCTTTATTCCTGGCACTCAGGAAGAGGATCTCTTAGTTACAGGCTAGGCTGGTCTACAGAGTGAGTTACAGAGTAGCTAGGGCTGATAAGAGAAACCTGTCTCAAAAACAAAACAAACATAAAGATACAACAAGGCAGGTGTATATATGAACTCGCCCATGTGGTGGCATGGACAAAGACCTCTGTAAACTCAAACCAGACAAAACCAAGCATGGCGTGGAGAGGTGGTCATGGAGATTTAGTTTTCTTCAAAGTTGTGGCTTCTAGTAGGTCTAACATGCTCCAGAGTGTGGTCACACACCCAGGAATATGGGCAGCACTAACTTCACTTGATGGATGTTTTAAAAATATGATGACACAGACTCAGGTGGGTAGAGAAAGGGGAGGGTGCATCTGGCAGGAGCTGGTGGAAGAGAGTGACTATGCTCATACAGTGTGTGAGATTCTCCAGGAACTGACAAAATAAGCATTTTAAAAAGTGAAGGTGGTTCTGGTTTGTGTAGATTAAAGCGAGAACGTGTTTCTAAGAACTGGAAGTTGAAGGTGGAAATGCTGATGTGACATTAGAAATGTGTCGTAACACAGAAGGTAAGACACTGGACACCTTTTTGAGAAAAGTCATGGTTTAAGTCATTGAAGCCAGACAGCCACACACCAGGAAAGGCCTTTGGAGGCAAGTGTCTTCTTAGAAAACATGAAGGGAACAGGACAAATAGAGAAGGGGTTTGACAAGACCTCATTCACATTAACTGTGTAGAGACAGGAGAATTAGCTTCTAGAACAAATAAAATTCAGTTAGATTAGCCCAAGGTAAACAATGCAGGTGCCTTTATTTAATGTTATCTTAGACTGTTAATTTTCTAGAAAGGAAGTCATAATGGATTTAAGTTTCTGTAGCTCTTTTTGCATGGGACTACAATATGCCCACATTAATTAGATAGTCATCTGTTTAGTGTATCAACTGGAATGCTGGAAATAGAGAAAGCCAGCCTCCATCTCCCAAAGGCTTAGAATTTAGTTGCACAGCTAAACATGCCAACAGCTGTAGTACAGTGGACTTTTGTGGTTGGTCCTGAGTGATGTGGTATGGCTTCTGGGACACAAGGTGAAGAGATTCATCCCACTTAGAGGGTCCAGGAAGGTTCCAGGAAGGTGGTTGTACTTGCAGTGGATTTGGGATATATGTGAGTTGGCTAGCTTGAGATAGCAATGCTAAATGTCAGTCTGGAGAACCTTGTCTGTATTTGCTTCCACATTCCCCCTAAAAGAAGTTTGGAAAATGATTTACCCCTCTCCCTGTATTTAGGTTGACATATTCATTTTATGGTAAGCTTAATAGCAAAGAATACCATTTCCAGTGTGTGGTGAATGCTGACTGACATTTTAAAATAAAACTGTTACGGCATTTTAAAAACTATGTCCAGGGAACTCTAAATGTCTTGCTCATTTCTGTCCCTTCCATCATCTATAAACAGCAGGAATGAACTCCTTGACTACTTCACTTATGTAATTCTGCTCTTGAATTCACTTTTCAAGCTACTCTCCTACAAAGCTTTAATGTATTTTTATGTTTTAAAGCCTTATGTCTATCATCCTGTTTTACCATTCTCCAAGAAAATGCACACAGTAAATAAAATCACTTGTTTCCTCTGGCCAGAGGGTTCTAAATGTCAATGTTCTCTTGAATTCAGTTATTATTAAATCAAAACAACCTAAATCTATTTTAAGTTATGGTAAAATATTATATATGAAAAGTCAGTTTTGTTTGAAATAAGCCTTTCTGGTAGGTGAAATGGGGCTCAAAAAGTTGTGCATATACTCTCTGCTGGGTTGAGATGTGGATTCAGCAATCATTGTTACTGACTTTATAGTATATGACATGAAGAGTTTTTTGATATCATGTATATACACACATATTTCAAATTGATAAATTTGAGAGTGAGTGAGTCAATTTTTCAGAAACAGGGTCTAGGTTCTAGGTCTAGTCACCCACTTCACTACAGAGTTTGTTTGGTGATTTCAAGAATGGCAGATGGGTAGGGATGAAGCTCAGTGGTAGAGCACTTGCCTGGCATTCATAGGTCTTCTGTTGAGAGAGAGAGAGAGAAAGAGAGAGAGAGAGAGAGAGCACTCTAATAAAAAGTAGAGTGTTAGCCCATCAGACAAAGAAGATCTCTACTCATGGGTATCCAGGACCCTGGCCTTTACACATCAGGGAAGCAGGCTTAGTTCATAAGTAAACAGTTTTATGGTGCTTATTTGACTTACACAACTTCATAACAATCTCAGAGGTGCTAGAGAAAGGAATGGGGCTGGAATAATGGGTGACCACAGTCAAACTGCCTTGGATCCCAGATGGCAGGCTTTGGGGTTTGCTTTCATGCCTTGATTAAAGCCTTGTCTTCCTAGAACCCAAGGGGCCTGAGGTCTCTAATGGTAAGCAAGACTTAGAGGGACAAACATGACATGTTTTCTCTCTGATATGGAACATAGAGTATACACACACACACACACACACACACACACACACGAAGGAAGAAGGAGGAGGAGGAGGGTTATTTGGAAAAGGAAGGAGACCAGTGAGAGGGGGCACAGGAGAGGGTAATGGGAATGAATGTGGTCAAAGTACATGATACATTTGAATGAAAATAGCCTTAGAAGCTCACCACTTTGTGCAATGAGCATGTGTCAGTAAAACATTTAAAGCCTAACAATTTTAAAAGGTGCATATTCTCACATACAAGCTATCAGAACGTGCAAGATAAACTCAGAAGTCTTACTAGATTTTCACATGACTTGAAAACACTCCATTTATAGGCAAGAATAGTTGTCAAATTATAAATAGATGTCAATAATACAGTGAATAAAATACTAACCACACTAGTTCATGTAAAGTCAGGGAAAAATAAATCACCATGTTTTGTGACTTTAACTGCCCATCTATGGCAGTTTGTATGTGCAATGTGTTTGTATGTACAAAGGTTGCAGATCAGTTTTGGATGCCATCTTATTTTCCCCTCCATTTTTGTGACACGGGTTCTCTCACTGAACCCGGAGCTCATCTATTCAAGGGTAGCCAGCAAGCCTCAAGGATCTCCTCGTGTCTGCCAGGGATTACAGGCGCCCCCTGCCATGCCCAACTCTTTACATGGGTACTGGGAACGCAAACTCTGGCCCTCCTCATGCTTGCCCAAGGACTTTAACTGACTGAGCTGTCTCCCCATCCTCTATGGTAGTTTTCTCATAACTGTGTGGATGAAAGTATCCCTGACAGTCTCTTTTATATAACAACTCTGCAAGATCACTGTAGACAGAACAGATAATTTAGTCCTCTGGAGTGGTTGGTTAAAGTTAGTTTTCTTAGATCCATTGTTTAGAATTCCTTTCACTTTCATGAACTGCTTTGGATAATGTCTTCTGAAGAGTTTAAGTTTTCTTTCATATTTGATTTGGAACTCAGGAAATTCAGAATATTTGCTTTTCTTGTGTTATAAACTCATCTTAAATACCTTTGAACTGAAAGTTATATGAGACCGGAGGGATGGCTCAGTGGTTAAGAGCACCAACTACTGTTCCAGACAATTCCCAGCACTCACATGGTGGATCTGACACCCTCATCTGACCTCACAGGCACCAGGCACAGGCAGAAAACAAAGAAAATTAGAAGGGGGCTGTATAAGGGAAGTCCCTGAAATACAAGCATTCCAGAAAATCAGCCTCCATCTCCTCCACACAACATCTTATGTGGAGGTCTTTGTGTTTAATGGTCACATAGATCCATAGTTCCCCCTCAGAGTGTTAAAAATGATGACTGTGTTCACCATTTCCAGGTAAAGCTACTCATTGGCTTCTCCCATCTTTTCTCAAAGTGCACAGTGACTTGTGGCCGAGGGTTGCGCTACCGAGTGGTTCTGTGTATCAACCACCGTGGGCAGCACGTCGGGGGATGCAACCCACAAATGAAGCTGCACATCAAGGAAGAGTGTGTCATCCCCATCCCATGCTATAAGCCTAAAGGTAAACGTGAGGTGTGCTGTAGTTGAAATCAAGTAGGGTTTTCCAACTCTCATTCAGTACTAGACAACAATCTTCTGCTATGAGGATGGTTTTGTTGACAGTTTACGAGAGATCTGGCTAAGGAAGTTGGACTACGGTGATTTATGATATGGAAGGGAAACTGGATTGTTGTTTATATAGTTCACACAGGGTGGTTCTCATCTGTCTAGGTTTGGCCTCACATTTCATGGTGGACATAAATTTTTTCCTTAAAAGAAAGAAAGATGAGGAGGGGAAGGAAAAGGAGAGAATGAAGAAGGGAAGGAGGATCAATAACAGAGAGGGAGGGGGTTCAGCCCAGAATAACTCTTCTCATCCATCTTTGCTCTTGAGTAGTGTGGGTACCTTGCTACTGTAGTGCCCCTTGACAGAGGCATGCTGATGTTATCATGTGTCATAGCACATGAGATGAGTGAAGACTTAATTGCCACTCTGGGTCTTTGATTGCCTTTAGGATTTCTCATTTGATCCATGTGGACAAGTAGACATTTATGACTATCAAATCTTGATCACCTCTTAGATATTTGCTACCCATCCCATGATTATTTCCCTGTGCCTATCCTTATGACAGATATTGTCTTGATATAGTAAAAGATAGCTACAGAGCTGGCTCAGCAGGTAAAGGTACTTGCCAACCCAGACAACCTGGTTCAATCCTTGGAACCCTTGTGGTAGAAGTAGAGAATCATGACTTCTAAAAATTGTCCTCTGACCTATGCACGAGTGTTACATGAGCACACACACACACACACACACACACACACAGAGAGAGAGAGAGAGAGAGAGAGAGAGAGAGAGAGAGAGAAGAGATGTGATTTAAAAAAAGGGGGGGATGGAAAAAGGTTGTTCTCACCTCTGTAAAGACTTTTCCTTAGTACTTCAGAAAGAATGGCAAAATTCTTCCCCAGGGATTCTCAGTTCCTTGTTTATACATATAGTCCTACATTTGTCTGACTGAGCCCATCATGTAGAAAGATCAGTAGTTGCCATGGCAGGCATATAGTCATTATATGTTCGTGTCTTGAAGCCTTTTCTTAACCTCTGTTGTCAACAGGGCTTTCTCAGTGTCTCTAATCTCCCTAAAGTATCTCCAAATTCTTCCCTTCACAACTGGATTAGCTCTCTTCTCCTGCCATGGAAGTCTTAAAGGACAGAAGGGCAGAGCAACTGTCCCTTCCATGCCTATGTAGATGGTTTTCATTTCCCGTGGTAACAGTGGAATTTGGGTAAGCCACACACAGACTCTCATCTTTCCACTTCATTGGCCTCTTGATATTTGCTTTTCTCTATTAATTTATTAATTCAAGAGACAAGAATTTGGGGCAAAAAGAAGACTCTGGTATTGTTGGAATGAGAGCTTCCATATGAAACGAGCAGAAAGGGGTATTGAGTTATATAAGGCATTTATGTGTTTAACTTTGGGATATTCAACCACATCAGCTATATAACAGGGATCATTTTGGGTGTACTTATAATATGTTAATTAAAAATAGCAGGAATTTTATTCATTCCAGAAGCAAATGTACTATGCATTTGAAAAGTATAACCGCAATGGTAATGAACTCTCCAGTCAATAACACACATTTTTCAAAGTCCTTAATGATGGTTATTAATTAAATTCATTGTTTACTTTCTTTTTTTTCTTTTTTCTTCAGAAAAAAGTCCAGTGGAAGCAAAATTACCTTGGCTGAAACAAGCCCAAGAGCTAGAAGAGACCAGAATAGCCACAGAAGAACCAAAGTGAGTTCAGGACCTTTTATGGACATAATCAGGGCTCAGCCAGTTTACATGATATATGTCATTTTTGTACTCATTGGAGTTCAACGATACATTTAGTATCCAAGTGACCTGGATTTACCGACTCCAGAGAGCCTGAACTGGCTAGAAGTTCTTTTTATTTCACAATTCAGCAGTCCTGCTTTGGCAGTATGTGTGAGAAGCACGGAAAAGATTGTGTTCTTTAACTCAAAGCAGACCCTTGCTCTCTTGCAGGGACGAGTGGGGATAGTTCTTGGATGTGCACATGAGGTTTAATTGAAGACCATCATAGTATTGTACAAATAAACTAATCATCCTGAGCTGAAATCATGGCCAATCTCTGTAAAACTAATGATGCTGAAACACACCAGGGTGGCCTGAGAAGAAGTCCCTGGGCTGCTGGGACAGGGAGAAACAGAAAGAACATGGTACTGTGTGGACTAGAGCTAGGAACCACCACTGTGAACCACATGACCTCGCTGCTCAGTGTTGGTAGTTCATTCTTTGTTATAAAGGGGGCAGGTTGGGTTTGACTCTCCAGGGTCCATTCTAATTTAGAAATCAGCAACTACTTGCTGCTTGCCATGTGTTGAGGCCAGCTTTAAATGGTGTCAACAGACTTGCAGAGTCAAGAGCAAGTCAAAGAAGCATTCTTGAGGCAGAGAGAGAGAGAGAGAGAGAGAGAGAGAGAGAGAGAGAGAGAGAGAGAGAGAGAGAGAGAGAGAGAGAGAGAGAGAGGAGAGAGCCAAAGAGAAGAAGGAAGCAGAGATGTCTGAGATGTCTAGCCCAGGAGTCCATCAGAACAGCAGCACCCGTGATAGATTGGAGTAATTGGACGCACCCGTGATAGATTGGAGTAATTGGACAGGACAGCTGATCCCACAGTGGGCAGTTGAGTCTGGAGTGCTGACAAGCTAGCTGCAAAGAAAGCAATTCACAGATGGGACAGGAAAGAGGATCTCAACAGCCATCTGGCTCGTTTCCCTGAGATGTCAACTCCAACCTGCTTCTTTTACAAATAAAGAGAATCAAATAGAGAGGCAAAACCTTGTGCAAGGCCCGTAGTTCATAATGGTGGTTCTCAGCTCCAATTCTCATAGTACCATAGCCTGTTTCCCTTTCCACAGCATGGGACTCTCCTTTATAACAACTCAACACCTTCAGCAGTGGGCGAGGTCACTACACAGCTCATTCTAGTTGAACAACACAAGTACTTTGTTGTAGCTTGAGTTGCTTCTAGCTCCATCTGTACTCCCACATTTGAACAGATAATGTTGTCCTCTTGATCCAAAATATAGCTTCTTTTAATGTCCATTTTTTGAAACAGTCATCCCTATGATACATCCCTTGCTTCCCTAACTTGGGAGAAACTAGTCACAGGTCCTAAGAACTTGTCTTTTCTAAGTCCATCATTCTTAGTTTTCATCCGCTGTAGTTTTCAGTTCTCTTACCAACCTGTTCCTCTTATCTGATCAATTCCATTTGCCATTGTGTTGAAGGAGCATGGTCCAGCTTAGCAGGGAGCCCCAGAGGGATGTGAAGGACTAAGTTCCCTTTAGTGATAGGCCAAGAGCCCTCAGCTCAATCTTGGTCTGCCACAGGCTTGACTTCCACCACAGATGGAACTATGAATGCTGCAACTGAATGGCCCCAGGGTTGCAGAGTGCAGGCATGCATGGGACCTACATACAGCAGGCTGGCACTGCCCTTCACCCCTTTCTCGGCCTTCCCTTGCTGTCAGACCTACACTCCCCTTGAATAGTTTTTGAAAGTGTTTTTATTATAGAGAATTTCAAACCTACAAGGAAGGGCAGCACAGTGAACAAAGAAGCCTCAGGTGTTCACGGTGAGCCGTTCAGGCCACACTTGCCTTCTCTACAGTGTCAGTACTGCACCTGCCCCACCCCACTGACCAAACACAGCGCATATCAGAGCACTTTTGCATACTTCCATGTCTCTCTAAAAGGGAAACAAGTTTTAAAGAACTGATGCGTTTAAAATGTGGTCCTTATATCACCTCCAATCAAACTCATTTGGGCTATCTTTTTTTTTAAGTTGTAATGAAGTAGGGCCTAGTGGCTCACATCTATAATCATAGCAGCTGAAGCAGGAAGATTGACATGAGTTTGAGAGCAGCCTATAGTACATAGTGAGTTCCAAGGCCATTCTGAGCTACAGTATGAGACCCTTTTTCAAAAATCTAAAAATAAGCAACTCAACAAAGAAAAATGGAGTATCACCACTTAAAATTTTTTTTTTCAACAGTAATGCATTTCTCCTCTTCCTGTGGTTTTACATGCAAACACAAGGCTTGGCACTTTAACCGTTTGAAAGTGTACAGTTAAGCATCACTAAGAACATTCATGTGGTTGTCCAACCTGTCCAAACTGTGTTCATCATTCTCAACATGAACTCTTGTATCTATTGAACAGTCTCTGTTACCTACCCATTCCAAGACTGTGATCATTTCTATTCTATATTTTGTCTATGAATTCAGTCAGGAGTATCTTGTTGCTTTTGCTGGCCTTGAACTCATGATTCTCTGCTTTCTAAGTGCTGCCCTACTTGGCATCACTTGCATTTGTAACAAGCACTCCAGGCTCCTCCAAGGGCTAGGAAGTGTGTGCTGGTTAGGTTTGTATTAACTGGATATGAGTTAGAGTCATCAATTGAGAAAATGCCCCCATAAAAATGGTTTGTTGGCAAGCTTGTGTGGCATTTTCTTGATTAATAATGGATGTGGGAGGGCCCAGCCTGCTGGCAGGTGGTGCTAACCCTTCATGGTGGTCCTGGCTTGTATAAATACACAAGCTCGGCAAGATATAAGAAGTAAGATAGTAGACAGCATTCCTTTGTGATCTCTACTTCAGTTTCTGTCTCTGGATTCCTACCCTACTTGGGTTCCTTTTTTTATTCCTCAATGATAGACTGTAATGGGGTCAATGTAAACCCTTTCCTTCTCAAGTTGCATTTGGTCCTGGTATATTATCACAGCAATAGAAAACAAAGGGCTGTCTGTGAATACAAATTTTGGAACTAACAGAACAGGTAGTTGGGTCCCTTTAAAGTTCAGAAAACACTGTTCATTTTAATGAATTAGTAGGCAGCAATAATGGATACACTATAGCTATAGTATGTTCCTCCCATGTCTGCTCCAAGCCTGCATTTCTGCCAGCACCACCTGACTTAGATAGGGGCTTCTCTTCCCTCTACCACAAAGCAAAGCCGATATGCTCTCTGCTCCTGAAAGGACTCCATGTTATCCTTGCTTTGTGGAACCCCCAGAAGCCTGCACCTGTTGTGTGGCCTCTGCCCATCCCTGCCTTCTCCCACTCTGAGGTCTGAAGTCTCTATGCAACCCTCCTGTATTGTCTCATTGCCTGGAATTCGCTGTCCTGATCTTGGCTGGATGGTGTGGAGTTTTGAGTTTCCTGCCATTCCTGATTCTATTCATTGCCTTCACTTCCAAACAAAACTGCAACATATTTCAGCTTCCAGATCACCCTTTTATGGCAACTGTCTTTTGTGGTCTGGGATGCTTGCTTGTTGACAATAAAGGAAAGGATGATCCCAGCTGTATTTCACATCCCTCGAGGAAAACCTGCCAAGCCAGCAGGGAAAAGATAAATACTCCCACCGCTGTGGTTTACCAAGACTGAGCTCTGAATTCACATAGAGAGTGAGTGTTCAAACGACTTTTGTTTTAATTAGGAAAATAAAGAAAAATAGAGTTTATAAAATGAAGCCAAGAGAACTGCTGTTCTGACCTTCCTGGCTGTCAGCTGTGGAATGTGTTCTCAGTCAATATGGTTGTTGCTTTGTCATTTGTTGTCACATTTTTAAATTCTTCCCAGAGCCTTCTGTACTTCTCTGGGATTCCCAACATTTCAGTGGTTTTGTTACCCTAACTCCCATTTCCCATATATGAAAACTAAAGAAACAGGACAAACAGACATTATGTGTTTTCTTCACTGCTGTTTTGGCTTTGCTGTGGGTGGGGATTGTATTTGCTAAAGCCGAGTCAGGTTATGTTTCAGGAATCTGTTTTTCTAACCATGGATGACACAGAGACTTCTTTTGGGGAAGACCATGTTGTGATTGTGCTGTGGGGATTATAGTCATTTAATGTGCAGTGCCTGAGGTGTTAGGATTGTCTTTCTTTGGGGGCTGTGTAAGCCAAGGTGCTGGAAGACTAACAGCTGGCCTGGTTCAGAGCTAGTCAGTCAGTGATGGACAGAGAGAGATTTGATAAACTGACATAGCAGCTGGGCAACTCCAGTCCATATGCACAAATTACAAAATAACCCAAACTCTGGGAATGTGTAAGCACCAACATGATACCAGATGACCTACAATGGGCTGCAGTCAAAATTCAGATACACTTAAAACTATGTATTACCTTCAGGTTTCATGCATTAAATATCTAGGATACATGGGAATTTTGTGTTCAGACCTGAGCCTATCCTCAGGATATTTCATAATGTATGTGCAGATATTCTGAAACTTAAAAATATTCAACATCTGAGGAACTCTTGGTGCCAAGCATTTTGGGTAGGGAGGCTCAGCCTGTACCATAGAAGGGGCTTCAGTATCTGGTGAGCTGACAGGAATTCAGGTTTCTTCTATCCTAAGTTATACTGTTAGATTCTAAGATCACAATGCATTGTGGTGTCTTGGTGTTTGTATTGCTTAGGGTTTCTATTGCTGTGAAGAAAAACTTGACCGTGGAAACTCTTATAAAGGAAAATACTTAATTGGGGTGACTTGCTTACAATTTCAGAGGTCCAGTCCATTATAATCATGGTGGGGACATGGTGGCCTGTAGGCAGACATGGTACTGGCTACATCTTGATAAGAAGGAGCAACAGGAAGTGGTCTGAAACCCTGGGTGTGGCTTGGGCCTATATGAGACCTCAAAACCTGTCCCCACAGTGACACACTTCCTCCAATAAGGCCATACCCACTTCAACAAAGCCACACCT